TAATTCAGCATTGAAATAAAAGCCGTGAAGCTGCTTGGTATTGGCCCGACCTCATTCGACGTTCTAATCCAGATTTAGTTCGCGACTAAGTGGTATTTCAGATGCAATTACTGAAATTGGCGTAACGTCTCCGGCAACCACGTTAAGTTAACTGTATAATGTAGCACTTTAATGGGTTTTTTCCACTTAGATCCGATTAATAAAGATTTTCTCAAGGTTGGTATTCACTCCCCCTTGTGAGCGCAGTAAGCCATGGTTATTAATGCCTCGTTAGATTATATAAATATACCTTCATAATACGTCGTCCTTTTATGTTATCGTGATTTACAAGGTGGAGTGTGCTTATGTTCTAGATAATAATGTGAGTCTCAAGTGCGCATCAGACATGATAAGTTTGAGAAATTAAAAGGAGTCCCTTTAGGCAACGTTAAGATAGTGGCAGTATCTTCGGAACCTAGCCTAAAGGGACTCCTTTTAATAATGTATTTTAGTTATTATATTTTATTTTTTAAGGTTTTTGTTTTAGGTTCATTGTTATAGTATATTTTTTGTTTTAAGGTATTATTAGGTAAGGTAATAGTTTGAGAACCTTTGGATAAGACTGTGAAAGGTGAGACGGAAATCAAATGATGTGGTTTTAAATTTTTTTCACTCAGATCGGAACAACACTTCGGACGGACGTACCTAATTGACTTTTTCTGCCAAAAATGACTTTGTATGCCTACGTGAAAGCAAAAGATTTTCCTTATACTTAGCACGTCAATGCTGCTCGCATGGTGCGTGCGACGAATGCTGAATAAAACATTTTTAAGCGTTTCTCTGCCATGCCAACTGACAAACGACAATACTATGACAATTTTCGGTACGCAGTTAAACTATATTTTTTTCAACAACGTCCCCACTGCTGGGTCACAGGGCTTCCCTGTCGATAGAATAGAAAAAACGAGACAAGCATTACGATTCATCATAATCAGCCGATGGACATCCACTGCTGGACATAGGCCTTCTCTAGGGATTTCCAAACACAGAATTACAGACTTTCAAGAGCGGATATCTCGAAAACTATACAAGATATCAAAAAACTTGACTGAATAAGACTTGTAGCAAATTTAATCAGCTTTCACTTTTGTCTCAGTCTCATGTCGCTAGGATGCATAGTTTCCAAGATATATGCGAAAAACCTAAAAATGGGACCTTCAATCTCCCCCCCCTTCCCCCGACTTAAGGGCTACGGGCGGGGACTTTTCATATGTTTACCTTCTAACTAGTCCTAACAAAGTTACGAAGTCAAAAATTGTGTTCCAAGCATTTCCCTCTATACCTGTTTTTGAGCATTCGTTGCCTGGACTACAGGGAGTTTCAAAATTTTAAATTGGTTTCGATCTAAAAAGTATTTGGTAGTTCAGTAGGGTTAAGGTTCAGATAATGTCTAATCCAGGAAAAATCGTTAAAAGGGTCAAACTTATATAATTAACGAAGCGAAATACATTTCCCACCTGAATCAACAAATTTCATCAATTGGAAATTATTACGTTCATAGCATTTGATAACAGCTAAGCTCAAAGGCTCACGAAGGGTATAGCAACTCTACACAGATTTAACCACGCAAATATATACCCTATCTATTTAAAATTGTGTTCATATTAACTTGATGCACTGAAAACTCCGAAGTGAAATACAATTTTTGATCGTATCTCGTGGTTGTAGAATGCTAAATTGCGTACGCCCAAAACCCCGTTGCCGAGTTCTTTCTTAAGATTTGTCCCTACTTAAGCCTGAATGCTTAAAGGGTATTTAAATCAATCTTTATTCAACAAAGCTTCATTAATTACAGTGTACAGCTGTGTACAATAAATCCCTTTTAAACACAACAGCCTCTGAAACATTATTTTTTATGTAAAACACACTTGAGTATTTACTCTTTATTCAAATTAATGTAAAGCTTTATTAATTTCGTTTACTTAAAAATATAAAATCCTTTTCCACGTGACCACGTTTTTTGGAGCCAGAAAGAATTCGAAATGTGTAATATAACAGTAATAAGTTTAAAAATACATGAAACGTAGAATTTTACGTCTTTTTTTTAAATACGTAAATTGTATAGCTAGCTTGCTAGTGCTGTCTGCCTTATACGAAGGTACTAACGGAACCTTTAGTGTGCTTGTCCGACTCACATTTGGCCGATTTTAACTTCGTATTTATGCTTGAATAGGATAGGAAACTTAGTGACAGTTGCATCAACATACTTTAAATTTAACTGTTCAGTTAAAGTATCGGTTAGGTAAGAAATGGGTTACACCATATGACGATAGAGGAGCTCGATGGCGCGGTTGGTTAGCACGTTAGGCTGCGATCGTTGAAGCTAAGTAACTTTCGCAGTGATCGGTTATTGGATGGGTGACCAAAAAAATTTCTCAAGTTCCTGCGTGCTTCGGAAGGCACGTTAAGCCGTGGGTACCGGCTGCATCTGCAGTCGTTAGGACCCGCCAATCCGCACTGTGCCCGCGTGGTTGGTCATAGCCCAATCTCCCTATTCCATCCATATGGAAGGCCTGTGCCCCAGCAGTGGGGACATTAACAAGCTGATGTTGATGTTGATTCGACGATAATCAAAATGAGGTAACAATTTAACAGTGACAATTAACTGTCCAAGCAAGAACAAAAAATAGTAAAAATTAATTTTAAGTTTAATTGGCTCTGTGGTGCAACTCACACATAATAACTCAATTAAGTTTGCGTACTAAATACAAACTAGAAAATGTTTTAATTAGCGTCGAGTAGGAACTACAAAAATAGCGTTGTCGAAATACGTTCATTAAAAATATACCCTAATTAGCAGACTTTTTGTCATCACTGAGGCGAAACATGCACGCCTAATTATTGAAAATCCAAAAGCAGTGGACGAAACAAGATTCAGCACTCCGCTCTACACTGCATAGTGTATCCTATAGGCATGTTTTACTTCCACAATAGTTCTTAAATCGCTAAAAAGAGTAATGTCATGGCCCCTGTTCTTAAAAAAATCATGTGATTCTTGTGTCAATAATGTTATTAGCAGGCAACATGTTACTTATTATATATAAACTAGCAAACCAGTGAACCAAATGTTCACCAAAAAAAAAATGTATTTAATTAATTGAGAACTTCGGAGATTTTGTGTGGTTTCGTTTGAAATAGAAATCACGTGATTTCTCGAAAACCGGAAGTGCTACGTTACTCACATCCGGTTTGTAGTCTTATCAGACTATTCTCAACTTATAACTTAAACATTCTCTTCATTCTCTAGATAGATAATCTCTTGCTGAAACAGCACCACGGACGGACGGACGGACTTGTCTAATAGATAAGAGATATTACTATTTTAAACTTTCATCATTTCCGTTATCGGTCAATAACATCTATAGATGATTAATAATAAACTTTTTACAAGTCCCCGATATATCGGCACTGCTGCACGTGCCATGATCACGGAATTACTGTACCGGAATTTTCTTCTTATATAAGTTATAATTTAATTCTTTTATATATGTCGGGAGTCTATTATACATTCGAGGGGCCATACAGAATATTAAGAAACAAATTAAAAGATAATCATCAAAATTGGAGATATGCATGGACAACAATAAAAATATATAGTCAAAATCATTTATTTAGATTACTTTGTTACAAGCACTCATGAATGTCTAGAAGCTAAGCCATCGGTTCGTGAATCTACGGCGGGAGACCTTGTACTGAGAAGAACCGGCAAGAAACTCAGCAAGGGCTGTTTTTTCTCTCTGTTTTACTATTTACAGAGTCATCAAGTTGAAAAATGACTTCAGAGATGATTATATACTGACGAATTGAGAAGATCCTCTTTTTATAAGACGGTTAAAAAACCATATTTATTTATGTAAATTGTTTACTTAAATAGATGAACATTTCAAACCTCCCGTGACTAATCTTGAGTGAACTTTGATATGTTTCTACAATGACCTTTGTGTTTCTAATTAAAATTTTTAATGAACACGTATTGTAGGTAGTACACTAATGAGATTTACTTCGCGTAAGTCAAATTAAAATTTGGGAGTTTTAGATTATGTACAAACTAACATTGTTAAAAGATACCTTCTGCAGTGCTTAGTCTGATTTAATAATAAGGTTTTGCTAATATCTGACGAAATAATAAGGCAGCAAAAAGAAAACATAACTGAAAAATCGAAAATCAACATGAGCCGCTGTTTGATGTTACAGGCTGAAATTGGCAGCTATTCAAAATGGGGCTCGAATTCTGCATTTGCATAATAACCTCATTGCCGTTTCGTTTACTTCATTTCCAGAACTATATTTCTGACCCGACCACAGATTTAGGCCCACTTGTACTATAAAGTTCTTAATTCAAATAAAAGCTTTAAGTACATTAAGCACCATTTACATTATGCAAGTTTATTGCCTATTGCATACAATTAAATTGAAGCAATAAATGACTTGCATGATCTTAACAGCACATAACATTCTTGATGATACACACGTTTTGCTTCTAAACTTTTCTTGGTGTTAATAGCACATATGTTAATTTTAAGTAATTCTTGCATTAAATTCTTGTATCATTTAGTTTTGAGTGCAGTAAGTGATGAGTGCAGCAAGAAATATTGAGAAAACGTCTTACAAAATAATCTATTCAATTATACCAAGAAAGTTTGGACTTGAAAACATTATCAGTACCGGAGCGGTGTCCATGGTATCTTTTTCCTATCCCCATGATCTGCGTCTTTTTTTTTATTGATGATAGCATAATTTTAAGTTAATTAAGTATTAGTTATCGTATCGTATATCGTGAAGTTTGTCACGGTAATGTGCCGTGACTTCTTCATGCCGTACGTCCTATTCTATTTTGTACGTTGTCCAACTGTGATGTGTGTTGGTTATGATGACCACATTATCGAAACTCAATATTTCACTCTCACTCTTTCGGATTTTTATCATAAAAACAAATTGTTCATGATACATTTCTGTTTCAGGTAGTTCATCAATCGAGGAGAGGTCAACTGTTCGAATGACCCCAATGCGGTTTAGTTATAAGCGTATCCACTCAACAGTACCATAACCATGGTGAGTATTACCTTTTAATTGCTAAAATTACACCCATATTTTATGTACAATTAATTATAAGTCGCGGCAAAAAATTCTAGCGCTGACCGTTATTAAGAAGTAAAAATTAAAATGTCTTGGGGGAAAAAGAGGTGCGCGGGCGGGCGGGCGTGCGTTGCGCTGATTGGCTCTCCAGTCATACCCATGCGCAGCTATCCCCTCCTCGTTTTGTTCAGCACTAGAGTTACGTGGCGTGGCCTGTACAAGTGATTTTCGTAAGCCAGAAATGCAATAACTAATATCTGTTTACAGGATCCTGCACTTTACAAAGATAACCGATAAATAAGATTACTTTGTAAATTTTAACCTGAACTATGTCAAATTGTCAAGTTATTTCTTATCGAAATTTTGTATTTGTTGTAGTAACGTGTATAAACGTGTTTACTTGAAGAGCCAGTAGGGTTGTGAAGCTTTGAGCTCTCCTCACCCATCAGGGTCAGTCTATCTAAACTAGTAGGGTTGCAATAGTAGCTTTCCTAGTTAAGGATTGGCTTAGCATAAAATAGAAAGGGACTTATGGTGCGATTACACTTGGCCGTTAGCCCGAATACGTGTGCCAATGGAATTCGGGTAAACGACTTAGTGTAATTGAACGGAGTCGAGTAAGCCCGTATTCGGGTAGATTTCCTTTTGTTTACCCGATACAGTCTTCCAGCCCGTATTCTAGTCGAAATATTGCTTCGGGTGGCCGAATTCTAGAAATGTCTTTCGTGCACCCGAATACAACTAACAACAAATCTGCCATCATACCATACCATTAAAGATTTGCATTGCAGCAGTGTGAAAATAGGCATAAGCTCAGTGCATCATTTACTCTGACAGCGAAGACACTGATTTTAATTTTTGACTTAATGATTTATCTGTAACATTTAAAATTACACTAAAATTTAAGCTATTATACTGTAGTTTTAAAAAACATCCCAGACGAATTGTATTTTGTAAAGTTCCAAAGCTAACCTACGGTTTTTATAACGAAAAACTGTTTGGTTTTAAATACCAATCGTTTTTACCAATTTTACTGGAAGAAAAGGAAAGTATGTAATAGAATTCTTTTGGATAGGCTTTAATAACAATATAAGAAAATCAGAAAAAAAACACAAATTCCTACCAATTTGCCCGTTCAAGTAGAATTAACAGCGTCTTAAAATAACACACAGAGTGCCAAATGCAGTTAACTATAGAAATCAATGCTGGGCAACAAAATATCGTTGAAATGCTGAATCAAAACTAGGTTAAGTGGCAGTTTGTTCGGGAACAGAGTGCTACGCCCCGTAAACTTTTCTTTTGCAGTCTGGGAATGTCAAAACTTCAAAAGTACCTTCCTGTTCACAGCCTAATTAAGTTCGCAGTTAAGGTCCCTGTATCAACAACTGAACCCAAATTAAAAGTTAAAGCTAGTCAAAGAGAAAATAAAAACAAAATACTGATGAAATAAGCCTGTTTGAACTTAGGTTCATATCTTCGAATGAGATGGATTGGATTTTAAGTGCGATCAACAAATAAATCGAATGATGGATTTCAATATAATAAATATGGGTATATATACCATACTGATTTCTGCACTATCTCCAATAAGATTGCCAAAAAATGCGAATACAACAAGAATATTTAGTCAAATCGGTTTCGCCATTATAATTTTCAAGTGATAATCCTTCATACATGTGGCATTTGCTTTTTATTAAATTAAAACAGATAACCTCTCGTCTGTGAGATGGCAAAAAAGGAGAAAGATAAAGGTTACTTTTAACTACAAACAAATGTCATGATAACATTAATAAATCAAATGAGCTGAGTTTAATTATAAAGTTATGTATGTACATAGTGATTTTGGTTAGAGTTGGTTTGATCAGTATTGGTTTACAGATCACTCAACAATATAAAGTTTAAACGAATTATTTTCTCCATTAGGGAAGCCGAATAATGAAACGTGGAAGAAAATTCTGATGTTCTGAGAAACAGGATAGATGTAGAAAAGAATTATTTGACTTTTATTTTAAACAATCTTAAGACATAAAAATGTAGCAGTTAAATGCATAGGTCATAACACAAAACAGAATAAAACCGAAGAGCGATTAGGCGAGATTTCGACATGATTTTACCTATGACATGATAATACTACCTACAGAGAATGAAAAAGATACACTGTAGTCTTATTTCTGTATATCGATCAATCAACATTTGTGTAATTCGAGCTATAAAAGGCCTAACTCTGACATGACTCTCTTAACCTAAAACAAAATTTGACAAGCCTCTAATTTTCAATCGGAACAAGAAATCAGAAATCAGTAAGTACATGTATATCTTAATTCAAATTGAATGAATAGTACAATTCTTTTTAATCGTCCAGTTTTTTTCCCTACCAATCGTTATTGGACATATTTTTAGCTGCGGAGAAAAAAAATCGGAAAGCTCATCATGATTTATTTCATATAGAAAACCTTTTGGAATAACTGGAATAGTTCAAATCCTCCTTGGGAGTTTTTGTCTGTAATATAATCAGATACTTCTTACTAGAATCATGCACGAATTGGGTCCAATATTGATTTAAATGCTTTCATTTCGTTTTATTTTCTTTTTTCGCTCACCATCGCTTACATATTTTCGAACCAGCACATTGGAGTGCAGTTATTCCAATCTCCGTATGTTCGGGAAATACGAATACGCAACCTCATTTCACTTTCGTTTAAGGGACTTCCTCTCTGTGTATTAAACGATCATAAATGTTCTCAGATATCTTTGAAGTTGGTTTTGATATTCAAAATTTTCAGACGTGTGTTTACTTTTATCAAAGATAAATTACTTCTGAGACGAAATGGTTAATACAGAATCTGAACTGGTTTGTTGAACTTTTTGGTGAAATACAAATAAACGTTATTTACATAAGGGTTGTAAGTCATTTTTTAATTATACAAATTTTAGAAATTTGAGCTCAGCAAAGAAAGGTAAATGAACAATCCATTAAGGTTCATTACCCGTCGAGCGATTTCATTAAGCTCACTCATACTGCTAACGTTCTAATAATTAAGAAAACGGATATATTTTTTAATTTATTGGATGGACGACTGATGAGATTTTATATTGTGCTATGCTATATTGTGAATAAGGGCGCGTTTCCGTTATGTCGTGACCACAGATAATCGTGTCATTAAGAATTGTTGCTTGTTATCGTATATTTAAATGAAGTTGATCATATATAGGATGATATCATGATTAACTGTCGTCCACGACTTTTTTTAGCAGTGACGGTTGTAGCGACATTATAAAAAACCTGACGATTTTGACAGAACATCATGTGTCGTTGTTGCGACTACCAATCGTAGGCACGACAAAAAAAAGTAGAAGCGATTGATATGCAAACGACAAGATATTCGTTACGTTAAATGATACAACATTTGGAAAACACAGTAACGATATAAAGTCGATACAATGGGAACAGCTAGAGACGAAAGTCGTCCAACGAAAAATTTGTCGTCACAACATAGTGGAAACGCGCCCTAAGGCTAATAATTTAATTGTGTCATTACCAATCCCTTAATTTAGTTTTTTTAGAACCTCATAGTGTAAGTGATTTTACAACTCAAGAAAATTATCTACCTCAGATTTGAAATTAAACTGCAGTATTTCCACCGAGGGATAAGAATTCAATAAGATTATTTGTCTTTCATCAATCGGAAGAGCTCCCCATTTCTTATATTCTGACAACCATAAAAACCATATAATCAAATGATAAATATTGCAGTTTTATCATCATCAGCCTAATAATGTCCCCACTGCAGGGGCACTATAGGAGTCTTGCCTATGGATGGAATAGGAAGACTTGGACATGATCGGACCTAGTGCGGATCGGTGGGTGTTATCGACTCCAGATGCATCTGGGACCAACGGCTAAACATGCCTTCCAAAGCACGGAGGAGCTCGAGATGTCAAGTTTTTGGTCACCCATCCAACGACCGACCGATCGCACGCCGAATGCGCTGACCACCTGCGCCATCGAGCTCCTCAGTTTTATTGTAGTTTACAGCTCAATAAACCAAATATAAATCACTGTAGCATCGCAGGCTTAGAGATCGCATATGACTCTCATGGGACAACTTCTATACAATCTACACGCAGTAAACACGATATGAGGAGTACAATGGCGTAGTGTTTAACGTGTTTGGCAGTTATTCCACCACTAGCAAGGAAGCCACACCCTATAGGCTATTCTTTCGCTCAAAAAACGTACAATAGATAAGTCTTTATGATAACACCAATTAAGTGCTTCTGCTTCTTTGTCGTTACACTCGACAGAGTGGTCGTGGCCGTTACTTCGGCGTCATGGGCGGATTCAGTGCTTTACCTTCCTCACGGCTGCTTTCCTTGTGCACACGTGTGCCAATTAAGTTACAGTACAAAAATTACATTTTAAATTAAACTAGAGTGTCACAAACAGCGATCTTATCGCTTAAAGCGATTCCTTCCAGACAACCGTGGAAAGTTTGACAGTGTTGAATTACACTTATAAACTTAAAAATTAGAACTATTAAAATTACAATTTGAGATTACAAAAAACATTAAAACAATGAAACATATATTTAATAATATATATAGTTAAAAACATACACAAGAAACAGCAACATCAATATCATAGCTGAAGATAATATTGGTTAAGCTGGTCCAAGCTGGTCCTTGAACGTATTTAGGTAGGATATAGATATACCGTGCTCACGTGTTCCCTCCTTCTTACAACCTGGGATCCTTTAAAAGAGGCGTGAAGAAGCAACATGCAGGTCGGCAAGGTGAGGATGGCTGGTGTGGCAGGTAGAACTGTTGTACCAGCTATCTTCGCGTCTGGGTTTCACCATCACTTAACATCAGGTGGGGTGGAGTCATTTATCGGACCTATCTATAAAAAAATTGAAACAAAGGAGATGCATATATTAATGATTGATTATACTGCCGAGAACACGACTAGTTTGTCGCTGAGCGATAATAGCAAAATAGCTATCAAAGATTGGATTGTAGTTTGAAATTTTTATCAACTGTATTTTTTTTTTACCCGAATTACATTTCAATAATTTATACTAATGCGTTATGTTGTGATCATAAATTTATAAGGTATTAGTAAATTATTTCTGAAAAAAAACTGACTTTTGACATTGGAGGATTAGAAGGTTTATTTTAAAATTTCATTTATAATCTTATTTTGTAATGATGATTATGTTTTTTTTATTTCAATTTTGATTTCTGACAAGTTCATTGAATGCTGTTAAAGGTGTACATAACTGGACTGTTTTATTATAAATTATTTTGTCAATGCTTCTTATGTATACTGTTGGCGTGTTTTAAATAAATAAATGAGATAAGACCCACTAAGTGATACACGATCAGGATGCTCGCTTGGTCGTCGTAACGTGTGCGCGTGAATTTTCGCTCAGGGCTGTCACCGCGAGCGAGTGGCGCGAGTAAATGCTCTTTGTATTCGCACACTCGCTTATAGCCCAGCAGTAAAACTATCAGAACTACACACTAGACCATAGCACGTCGTCTCGTTTCTGGTTTCTAGCTGTCCTCGCTTCTCGTTTTTTCCCGGCGATGGGACAATTACCTAATCTACGATTGTAGAAGTTAAGAAAGGACAAGTATCTTTCTGTTAGATAATTAAGCGTAAAGCGATGCAAAACAAACGAACAACATACTTGAAGTTGATTTCATCACTAAAATCACTTAAAATAATAGACTCAAAAGTCATGCAGCTAACCCACAAAAAATGTGATTATTTTAGAAATTAGTCAATTGTGTTTTTTAGTTTTCCTTTTGTTTAGTTTTTAATTCCAGACTTGGACAACCCTCCTCAATTATTTGATATTTTTTTTATTTCATTAAGATTTCTGATAATGACATCTATAGACGATTTCCTTCAACAAATATTTCGCAATTGTCCTTTGCACAATGCATGGCCGCGTTAATAGGAAGGGTGACAGAAAATTTATCAATTTCGAGCTGCTCTGAGCTTCACAACGTACCAACGCTAAGCCTAACCACCCACTAATCCGCATTGGACCGTGTGATAAGAAGACACACAGACCTAGCATTAAAAAGTCTTAATATTTTAAATGAAAAGAAAAATGATATCCGCCACTTCATTCGCCTCGATTGCAAAAGTTATATTCCAGCTTAGGAATTGAATTCAATTGAATATTTTCTTTTGATATAAAAATCATTAATAATTAAATAAACTCATAAAACCATAAAGTAAACATTACTAGAAAAAAAACAATCGGCCCAGGTTTAGGTAGTTATGTCAGTATTGTGTTTTTGAGATTTAAACATCTAACAGTGACTTGAATGCTTAAAAACAAAAAAAATATATATTCTTCATTCATCCCATACTACGTTTGTTTTATATATATTTATACTCTACCATTACCTTATACATAAATCGAAGTTAAAATACGTTTTATTCTCTCACAGAAGCCCAAGGGAAGTGAGAAAATATTACAGCCGCATCCTAGATTCCTACAAACTATTATCCATTGCTGTGGTAGAGTAAAAGTATTGGATATTAAACCTTATCGTCCTTAGTTTAACGATCGAAAATACGTTAGGTAACAGATTTCGTAGTACTTGTAATATCCGATGACGGAAATTACGCAGGTAACGTACTCACCATAACCTATGCGAAAATGCATGCAATTAAAATTGATGATGAAAAACAAATATTTTACTACGAAACACCATTAACCACGTAAAATTTTTTACAATACGGTCGCTTAAGATTGAAATTAAAAGCTCAAGTGGTTAATACACAACTTTAAATCGTTGTAGACCCTAAACAGTAATATAAAATGAAAAATTGTACAGGGTACCAAAAAATTTTTTCGGTTATCTAGACAATGATACTAACAGACAATCTAACTGACGCACTAAATGGAGTTTCGTTTATTTTACCCTGTCAAGATCCCTCTTATGTGTATTGCAATTTGAATCAACATCTTAAATTCAATTAGCCAACGTGTCCTCTTGACTTGGTCTGTAGTTCACCTTTTTTGTCGGTACTGACTTCTCCGAATAAATTGTTTCTTAATTGCCGTTTTATGTTAAGTTGTTCCTTTGTTTTCCCACTACTTCCATTAACAGCTCATTTGCACTCGTAATTTATTCGGGATCTTATTATTTATTAAATTGATTCTCTTGAACTTTAATAATTAAAGGTATATAGGTACCTATATGAATACATTCAGTGGTAATATTAATGGTGGACACTGCAACACTTTTTTTAAAGATGGGTATAGAAACTATCATTCACTTGTAGCAGAAAATCGAGATTTCACTCTTTTTAAATTTACTGTAAGTACCATATTCCCTAAATGATGCACTATGCTGTGTTATAACCTTCTTTTTGAAACCAACGATCATGTTGATGTACCATTTTACTATGGAGGCGTAAGTCGCGTGGTCCACCAAGGTATGAAGCACACCATCTCTTAAAGAGTATACGCAAGGTAAAATGAAATGTTTCAGTTAGAGCAGGTACGTGGAATACAGCGCCGACAATTCTCAAGAACGTTACATTACATAGGAATGCTTATGAAACTCAGCATTTTCCTGTATTGAACTTGCTATTTTTATGAACGTTACATGTCTTTGAAATGCTCTACCAATGCTCTAATTTATACTCAACCCTAGGCTTTGTAAGAAATTCCGTTCGCAATGTGACAAACTATGAATATTTTTAAATATGCCCTAAATTAAACAACTAGGTACAACAATTTTGTGCCAACACACGAAACCTATATTTTCTTTTGTATTGAGTTGGTGTGTCAGTTTTAGTTGAAACGGGTTCTTAAATAGGTACTTAAGTGAATAATTATAGATTAAAATAAATATATTTTGAACATCTAGCCGTCCTTTAAGTTACCTTTACGTTAATTAAATATGTGAGTCTTGATAAGCCGTAGGCACTTCCATATTCCGTCGCTGACAACTTTATAGACACAATGAAGTTCTCAATCTACATTTTAATTAGTTAGAATGTTCTCGTAATTTGATTTCCAGAATTCGGGAACACTACAGAGTGGGAGTCAAAGTTGGTAATACGATAGTTTGCTCGTTCAGCTTGACAGGCGCCAACGTGATTTTTGAACAATCTCAGTTTCAGCGTGAATATTTTTTTTATTTTAACATTATCAGTTGTGTATTTGGGTTCAGTAGAAAACTTACTTTAAAGAGTATCCGATAGTGAAATACAGGATGGCGCAGCAGTGCTTAGCGCGTTGGGCCTAAGATCACCGAATCTATCTACTCATCATCATCATTATCAACAGCCGATGGACGTCTACTGGTGGACATAGGCCTCCTCAATGGGTTTCCGTATATAATGGTTGTGCGCTTTCTATATCTAGTGGGTCACCCCGTCTTGCTTGATGTCGTCAGTCCACCGGGTAAGGGGACACTGTGCTTCCCGGTGCGAAGTCACCATTGAAGCGCCTGGGGATCCCAATATCCATCGGTTCACCAAACGGCTCGAACCAAGCTTTCGGCAAATTTATGTACTGTAAATCTTCCATAACCCGGTCATTGGTATATGCGAATCAAAACATTAGGTATTCTCAGAAGCATTTACAGATCATTAATAAAATAAAATGCCGTCATTGAACTGTTAAGGTTACCTGAAGGCAAAGTTTGTGGTAAAAGGCCAATATTCTGTAAGACATTTAAGAGGTTATTGCCCTGACATTGGTCTCTAATAACCCTATATTTTATTAATAACGAGTTCTACAATCAATTGCCAAGTTATTCTACTTCCTATACCTATGTCGTCTAATTCGTTACTTCCTTATAAGTCCACTTAAACCAAGACATGAAAAGGAGTTTGAAATATATTTGTTTCTTTAATTTAATCTATTTCAAACTCATTATTTAATTAATGAGTTTGAAATAGATTAATTAAAATATACTCAATTTACATCCTTTTGTTATTTTTATTTTTTACTATAATAAGCAGAGAGGGCACTCAGACTTAAAGCTCTAATATCTTCTACTTTTGACTTTTCGTTAGAAACTCCACGGTTTTATCCATCTTACGGTTAGTAGCTTATGCGTCGGGTTTTCCCGGGCTAGACCGTGTATTTACAATAGGTATTACTTACGCCCAAAAAAACCTTACAAATTTTTATGTTTTCTAAAAATATTCTTACATTGCCAATCCTGATACGTAAATTAGGTAGGTACCTAGTATCATAGTTAAATTTAAATAAGCCACCAAATCTAATAGGTAGGTATACATAAAGATCTGCCTACAGATTTTCTAACATTAAATTATGTCTCAGTAAAATATGATATCGGTGAGTTTTGTCAGTGCCAACAATAACAATTTTGTTAAAATCAAAATGTAGTTTAAACAGTTAAAAGATTGATTGAAGTGTTTTATATTATTTTATATATTTTTCTATTCCAGAGTTTGATGGCGATTGTCAAGTTCGGCTACGCCCTGGTCGTGGTCACCCTCCTACTTATGATATGGGCCTCACTATCCAGAGCCTTAGAAGTAAGTACTAAAACTACCATTACTAAAAGCAGGGTTAATTATGCCTTCTGGGAAACGAACATGTTTTCATAATTACCTATGTAGAGAAAACTACGAGTAAACTTTATATTATTACAGTGCTGCCTGTTGTTAGAGATGCCGCTTAATCTCCTTATGCTTCTGTAATAATATACTTTTTTTCATTCATCATACTTTATCAGTAGTCTTGTTCATATTATAAAGGTGTGAAAAAGGTCACACTCTAAAGAAAAATATTTTAAAAACTCAGTGAATAAGTTTATCACCTTACCCCGCTTGATGTTAAGTTTTAGTAGTGTTCAGTTGTGAAGAGTACTGATGCAGCAGTAAAGTGTGCACTTCAGTTAATCAGCCATTATTTGCTGCAAGCTTTCCGTTGAGCCTTTGCCGTCTTGGACAGAACATCCTATCCCGTTGAGCTCGGGAATCTTGATCACCAACAGAAATACAACACTATCAAAAGGCAGTGTCCATATTTCTACTGTTGTCTTCTGTAAGATAGATGTTACTCCTCCAGAGCGCTCTTCATTTAAAGAGGGATAGTCGCTTTACCTTTCATCTTATAAAATATTTATTAATTAGTCTTCTTTTATTTATCTCTAGGTTTAGTCAAAACCAGCAAAACTTTTAGCAAATATATTTATTACTTGAGTTTAGTGTGTGAGAATTAGCATCATGTTGGGTATAATTACTAAGTTGCCTTTTTATGGATAATTGTCTGTCCACTTATGATTTTACTTGTTAATATTCTAATTACCCAGTTCAATCAATATAGGTCAATAGCACATCATCGATTGATACAAAAATCGTTTACTTACTAAACTTTAAAGAACGCCTAAAAATATTTCAATCCACTTTCCTTAATAGCTTAATGATAGAAACAACGAAAGAAATGAGAACAAAGGAATTCTCAATATTAACTCCTGCAAATTGAATTCCTACCCAGGAATACATACATGCCAGACTTTAGATCTAATACAAACTACAATTCAAAATCTGAAAAATTATTTAAACATATTGTTTCTCTGCTTAGAAATACATTGTGATATCACTTTACATATCGCTTTGCAATCGTAAATTTTGCTTGGATTCATTTGGCATATTACTGTGGCACGTGAAGAGTGCTTGAGCTCGTTATGAAATTTAAGCACACAAGTCGTTAGTCAGCGGTGAACGCTGAAACTTCATAGGTTCACGTTGTTGATTATTCAGCACTTTTGTTACTAATAGCTTGGGACTTTGATAAGAGTTTTCAGATTTGGAATTCAATTTATAGTGAAACTTTTCCGATCAAGCAGGTTAAGGCCCACTTGCACCAAAGTTCTTAATTTTAAATAAGGCTTATACGTGTTAAGCAAATCATTCCATCTTTAATTAATTGTTCAAAATCAAATAGAGATAGAATGAGGCTTTAACATGATAAGATTTTGATGATTAGATTAAATAATTAGGAATATTAGTGCAAGTTGCTCTTAATCTATTATTATGACATTTTACAAACGCTGTTTTTTGTAAACCAAAAGAAAGTTATTTATTGTTAGTAATTTGTAAATATGATATCAAAGTTTTTTTTTGTATTACTTTTTTAGCCACAGATCAAAGACATCCGCTTAAAAAAAAAATCAGCTAAAGTTTTTTGAGGTTAATAAATAAATTTTATTTTAAAGCTGTATAATTTTCTTATATGTACTGACCGACCTGAATCATTACTATCACATCTGATCAAAAAGCGAATTTACCTACACTAATAATCTCAACTCTTTTAAAAAATATTAAACAATATTACAACAAAGTAAAAATGTTCTGCTTTATTTTATAACATTCTGGCGCTTCGTCATCATGTTAAAGCCTCATTCTATCTCTATTTGACTTTGAACAATTGATAAAGATGGAATGATATGCTGAACACGTATAAGCCTTATTTTAAATTAAGAACTTTGGTGCAAGTGGGCCTTAACCTGCTTGATCGGAAAAGTTTCACTATAAATTGAATTCCAAATTGTTACAATCGATTCCTTATCTTCCAGATCCACGTAGACACAGGGCATCCCTCATGCCTGTTCCAAGCTTTGTGCACATGTTCAAAGCCTGCGGGTGACCTGGGCATCGTGACATGTAACCACGTGCCCCTGCTGAGGGTACCCACAATCCTGAACAGCAGTAAAGTGTTCACCCTACAGCTCACTGGAAACAACATAAGAGAGCTGGAACCACAGTTCTTTCAAGCCACAGGTTTGTCGAAATTAACAAATACAACATTTTTATTAAGCTATCAGTTACAAATACACAAAATAAAGGTATGTTTAGTAGCTCGATTCACAAATCGCCAATCAAAACGTGTTAAACGCCGCCATCATTTTTCAGATTTTCTGTTTGGGTCATCGGGGACACCCTTAGTCCGTCATGCGATTGTTCCGTTGGGGCTGTGGGGGACACCTTGTGATCGCGCTCCTGAAGCGACTTAAAGCTTTACTACAGAGCCATCGGATACAAATATGAAGCTAATATATATTAGACGTGTTCCCCACGGCCCCGCAGAACAATACATTGTACTTTTTTATCTGTATTTAAAGGTTTTAGTCACTGAGCGCCTATGTCAGCCTAGAGTGTTTGAAGAATTGGTTAACTATTCCTTTTGTTTTAAACTTTCATGGTCACTAACATTATAGTAATATAAGTTATTTACGGGATTGTTACCATGTACCTTGTTTTTAGCGAGTTTCCGATATTTCGGCACTGTTGCAAGCGCCATGATCACGGAGATCTCCGTGATCACGGAGATCTCCGTGATCATGGCGCTTGCAACAGTGCCGAAATATCGGAAACTCGCTAAAAACAAGGTACATGGTAACAATCCCGTAAATAACTTATATTACTATAACTATTCCTTATCCTAAAAAAAATTATTATTAATTTATATAGCTCAATTGCTACTTTTGAAGTCGGTTGAGATAAAATAATATGGTTTTAGTTAAAAAAATGGTTGCCTGTAAAGTCGGTTTTACGGGCGAAGATTTTACGTGACAACGTCTTTTTCTCGGTAGAATATTTATTGATATGAATATAATTAAATTGCACAATAGGAACAAGGAATTGAATGAAAATAAGAATTGCACAAATTTTAACTATAGAAATATATTTTGTTTACTAAAACATTGTACATGTAAACTTAAACTTAACACGAGAGACTCATCGTAACGTTACCGAGCGTTACACTTTTTCATAAGTGACTCCCAGCCGCAACCTAATTTAAGACGTTGTCACGTCAAAAAAACTTTAATATTAGTTCTAACGGAAAAGTAGGTGTGTAAAGTACTATTTATAATGTTTACGAAAAAGAATAAGAAGAAATGTATTATCATGAACCTTTAAAGGTGATTACTATTTTAACAAGCCCTATGTTTTGCGTAGTATTCTATAGTAGTAGTATAGTATTAGATCTAGTATTATAGAGCGTGGCAAGTGTTCGATTAACCAACTGCTAAGTAAAAACTGTTTTGCGGCTGGTAGTGTCCGTCATCGTCCGTCGCGCATAAGTTCAAGTTGAGATAGTTCTTGAACATGATGCGTTGTATACGCAACTATACACGTCTTGATATTTACGTTTATGTCTTGACTATCTACACTAGAACTTTTTATTCAATCCTGAACGCAAACATGTAAACTGGCTGCTGATATTATCGCCATCAGGCTTCCCATATTGCCTATCGACGGAAACATATATTTTGGATACACCTTACTCATATCTCACTACCACATGTAAGCGTTGCACAGTTTAGGTGGGTGCTACCAGCTGCACATGTAGGTTGACATGCCATCCGAAGGGTGGTGGATCTAGAGATATTGCATTTTTGGCCGCTAACCCGAAGGCCAACTATTGTGAAAATTGCTATTAATACTTCAGTTATCGCAGAACATAATATCAAGTTAGACCACATCATACTCGTACCTTATGCTAGACTAGTTGGTAGCCAAAGATGTCGAATATTACATAAGCTCTTTGGCTTAGTCTCAAATTGTAAAGTGACTCATTTTTGGGTTAACTCAATGGGGTTGCGGCTTTTTTTTATTTATTAAATCTTATTTTACATCATCTATATGGATAAGCTATAAAAATGTACGAAAAATCTTTGTACAGGCCGACCATAATCTTACTGTTTATTCAGTTTCTTTGAAGTAGTCTTTCTTCTAGTTTCATTCATCTTTTTCGAGTTTTGAGTATCAGATTAAAAATAATGTGTATACAGTACTAATATTATTATTAAATTATGAAGGATGTAATTACAATATCCTTATAATTTAGTATACACCCTACATAAAAAATATACGTTTTATAAACTGTTGTCAAACAGTTTTTAAGCAATAAAGTTATTTCATTCATTCATTCACACTATTGTATTAATTTTTCAGGCATATACAGATTAGCAATCAACCAAAATCCTTTAGAAATAATTCACGAAGAAGCTTTCTACGGATTAGACAAATCACTATGGGAATTAGAACTTCGAGAAGACAAACTGACAGCCGTGCCCAGTCGATCACTGAGAAACTTGCAAAGATTGAAGCTGTTGGACTTGTCTGGTAAGCAAAGTTAGAATAGAATATACAAATAAATTTAGATTGTTTTAATCGTAAGCACAATGGGGCTAGCTTTAACATTTGCCAATAAAGCCATTATATTCAATGTTGTATTGTCATAATTGATTTATATTATGGGACTTGTAAGTCCAGATCAAACCTTAGTACTCATTTTAAAAATTGTTTCAAACTTTATTTGTTGTGATGAATTCTTATTTTGAATGAATCTTAGCTGGTGAAATTGTTCAGACGATCATAAAAAATACTGCATCAATACGAAACTATGATTGAAACTAATATTTTTTTGTCTAGGCAACGAAATAACAGATATATCGGGAGATGATTGGAGGAATTTGGAAGGAACTCTTCAGACATTAATACTGGCTGACAACTCTATTGCTAATCTACCACTGGACGCTTTTTCGGGACTTGAAATGTTGGAGACTCTGGATTTGCATGGCAATCACTTAGCTGTTATTGAAAGTGGTGTTTTCAGAGATGGCATGAGTAGACTTAATAAGGTTGGTATTCTCGTCATAGGAGTTGTTAAAATCACGAAGTTATCTAACGTACCAAGGTCAACATGAGTACCTAAGGCTGCGTTAAGTGACAAATTCTTTATCTAAAACTTACTTAATTTTTTTAAATAGTCAGATAGTCTTGTTATAATTATATTATTTTCTGTTAGTGTAATTTTTGTAACCTAAAGAAAACACAAAAATACCGATACAGTCCTTGTTAATTAATAGTCCCTAATTATTTCTGAGATGACCTTTTGCATCTCAGAAATGGGAGATGTTAATTTGGGTAGTTGTTAGTGATAAAAGTATACAACAAGACGCTACAGTTATACACACACAAAATATAAGACAGGAGTCATATTTTAGCCATATTAATAAACAGAGACTATTGTGGTATTTTTGTGTTTTCTTTAGGCTCCCCTTTTTATAATTTTTCTCACTTGACGAATATTACAACAACAGATAATAAAATAATAATATCAAGACTATCCGACTATTCCAAAACTTCGTTCTTTAATAAGAGTTTTAGAAAAGGAATTTGTCACTTAACGCAGCCTTCTATACTCATATTGACCCTGGTACGTTACACATTTTTTCCTTGTTTAGACGTTTCAGTGAAATCTATATAGTTGTTTTTAAAATTGACCACATAACAAATGGAAACTTTTAATATTTTCAGTTGCTATTAGGCGACAATCAGCTGACGTTTATACCGTATGAAGAGATATCGCCGCTGCGCCAGTTGAGAGTGCTGGACCTCTCGAACAACGTGATTAAACAAGTGCCTCCCCAGCATGAACTGAACGGCATCAGACTTTCATTGGACTACCTAAAGTAAGAATTAATTAAAATGGAATTTGTGTGGAAGGTTTATTCCACATTATTGATGTATTTATGAAAATAATGATTACGTTATTCTCAAACAACGTGATGAAACAAGTGCCTTCCTAGCATGAAGAACGAATGATTGAAATTTATGGATATTTCTATGGAAAAGATTTCATTATTTTTGTCATTAACGTTAAATTCGCTGCTATAGTTCAAAGCTTCACTTTACAATTGATAGATAAAAGTTGTTTTTTGGGATGAATAAACGTGCTTAGTACACACATCAGTTAAAATACTATCACCTGTACCATTAAAATCTGATTGTATGTAAATGAATTTCAATTCAATTCAGAAAAGAAAAATTGCAGGATCATTTGACCGTAATTTTTATTGTTCTTGAATGTATTGTGAACAAATTCAGAGTATGGCTGTAGTTTTTCGTGTCCATATCATAATTTGCATTGTTTTTCTCGAAGACTCGTGGCGGATTGCCAAGTGATCCCATGTTATGATTGCGATGCGACCAACTTTGAGTGAATAAGTTATTGTTTTCAGGTTAGACAACAACGTGATCAGAGTGCTGTACCCGAGTTCATTTAAGTTTTTCAATATTTTGAACACTACAACATTGGACGGAAATCCCATTTACATAATACGGGTAAGATAATATTCATATGTTTCGTGCTGTTAAGTTCAACTTACGAATAATGCGACTTACGGTACAGATCGGCTTTAATGACATATATGTTAGCTATATGATTGATGTTTTTTTTTTCGTAATTATGTGTATTCTCTAGCGTTATTTCAGTTTAATCCACGATCTCGTTTTCTCAAAATTTTGTCTTTGTATTAAGAGTCATATACAATATATTTGTTTATAAGGGTTCATTTTTGCTTACAGAGATAGGTTCTCATTTAAAAAAAAATTTATTGCTACCCCCACATGAAAAGACTAACTAGACTATTTATTTAATTTGGAATTTATAAGTACTTATCATACATTAAATCTTTATCCACAGATTTGTGTTTATTGCACTTTTTTCATGTTAAGTGTTCTTCGTTATCATACCAGTTGTACTACGCCTTGCTACTGAGCATTAAGGTTTTTTATGTATATTCATGTTATTAACCAAATTATGACTGCTTATAGGAAGACGCCTTCCGTCATGCCAAAATCAAAACCCTATCACTGAGAGACTGCAGCATCACAGAATTGTCTCCAGCATCCTTCGCCGGTCTCGAGAACAGCTTACAGAATCTCGATCTATCGGAGAACAATCTCACCATGATCTCCAAATTCATGCTCAACAAACTAGATTCGCTTAGGTCTTTAAACTTAAAGGAAAATAAGGTAAAATTTTTGATTTTTATCTGTATATACCTTTATAAGTATTATAGTTTAAGAAACTTCGTCTTCTAGTGTTAATAACAGGCTCAGTAAATGATGAACTTTTCGTTTGGACGACCTCCGTGGCCGTCGCATGCTCGCGAGGTCCCGGGTTTGAAGCCCGGGGAGGGGTTAATGTGATCAATATGAGCATTAGTATTCCAGTCATGGATGTTTAATATTTATTTTTATATAAACATACTTATATATGTATCAAGATATGTATTCATTCCGAAACCCTTGTATCCCATAACACTAGCCTACAGTGCTTACTTTGGGGCTAGGCTAATTGGTGAGAGTGTTGGAAATATTCATTCATTCATATTCATGTATTGGCATAGATCTTTGTGACGGTCAGGAAGCGGGTCACTAGTCGTATTCATCGTTGAGATCACTTGAAATGATGGCCAAGAATTGCTTCCCATTTGCTTCTATTTGCTTCCTATAATTGCAAGCCATGGCATTAGGATCTTTTATATTTAAAAAATAATCAAACAAATTAAAGTGACCAGCCATTCCGATATCAGAATCGTCAGGATCAAAGCCACGATTTTTTGCATTATATGTTATTCATTTGTAATCCTTCTACCACAGAACACCAACGTCACCTATTCTCGAAAAGTACAATGAATACCCAGAAACTATAATTTCTTCTATAATGTTTCTACTTTGACGTTTATTCGGTGAATTATAATAAACTGTTTTGTTGTCAGGTGGACATCAATTTGTTAGCAACGAACACTCCAACGGATTACGCAATGACGGCCTTCAATAACTTCCAATATAAGCTGTTCTTTTTAGACGTTAGTGGTGCTAATTCAATGGAAATGGGTTTGCAAGATGTCAGAAGGTGAAAACTTACCACATCTAAATATAAAAATAGATAATAAGCTTTTATTCAATTTCAATATTGTTTAGTTGAACTTACAGATTTCTGATTATCTTTTGTTAAAATTATAATTTAAATTAACTCAGAAAGCGAAGGATGTCGGTTTAATTCTAGCTTGTTTAATATATAGATATATTTAAAAGATCATCAAAAAAAGTAATTAATCCTCAAAAAAAAATACAATCGGGAACCTAACCAAACCTTTAGTTTACCAATTGTATTTTTTTTGTAATCATTTATTACTCTTTTGAGGATAATTTAAATAAATCGTAACGAAAATTTGCTTTTGACTTAAAGTTCGAAGCAGTGAATTCTACTTTTATACGCTGCATAATAAAATGCCGGCGGCCGAAAGGTGTGACGTCACAGAGCTCGATCGTGGTTCACTCCGGTCGTACTTTAGAAGCGTCTCTATGCACGCTAGAGCTCTGTGACGTCACAGTCACCACGCGGCCAGCCGAAATTTTTTTTAGTAATTTGGTCATAGCTGCGTCGATATGTGTCGTAGAACATAAATTTAACCACTGTATTTTATGAAATCTTAAGCTCTATAAATGCATTCTCAAATAAATCGTTACGGATCCTAATTATATAATTTCAGAATGCGATCACTCCGTTACCTATCCGTCGGTAAGTTAATAAGGAAGAGTATAAGATCAGAAGATTTCCTTGAATTCGGTGTAGACTTGGAAGATTTGAAGGTATATGGTAGCACTATAAACAGAATAGAATCAAGTGCCTTCCAACACGTCAGGACGATCAAAACTTTGGACCTATCTGAGAACAATATCGATTTCATCGATCCCTTCGCGTTTGCTGAGGTAAGAATTTTATTATATAAAACAATTTTATAGACTGCTTAATTGTATTGTTTTAACGATCATTTATTAATTAAAGAGAGCAAAAATAATAAATATCATCAATAAATAGAAAAGATGTTCGCAAAATTCGCAAAATTAATTTAACATAATATTATACCTCTAAAACAAACAGCTGATAAAATTATGTGTTTTGTCTATATACCTACAAATAGAACGTGATATCAATTTCGAATTAGAGTTAGATTTATTAATCACATCACTTTTTTTACCAAGAACATGATAGTATTTCAGAATGGGGATGAAATTTATTCATCAAATCGTTTTTTTTTACAGTTGCACAGCTTAACGACGCTGAAAATGATAAACGGGTTAGCGGATGAAGTAAGAATTCTACCGTTCGAGCCTTTGAAAGCTCTAATAGAACTACAACACTTAGACCTCAGTAACAACAAACTGAAAAATGTCCCCGATACCTCCTTCCACTTCTTGTACAAATTGAAATCGCTCAATTTACAAGACAACACTATCGACCACTTCTCCAAAGGAACTTTGCAGGTGAGGCTCACACAATAAATCCTAACGCTATTAATCACTTATGACGTTGAAAGAGCATCACTGGATAAACCATACGATGAATCATATACAAAATTTACATTGCAAATACATAATTATCAATCCTATATTTTAATCACGCCCCTTGGTTCATTTGTTGATCCAAAATAATGTTGAGTAGTAATAGTAACAAATTGCCAGCTCCAAAGGTAGATCCAAGTTGTAGTCGATAAACAATTTCGATGTTCCCATCGTAGGACTTACTTTTAAAATTTGCTTGTCCGTTGATAGATTTTTTGCATTAGCTCGAGAAATAAGGCAGCTGGCAAATTCTGTTTTCCAGTTCAGTATGGGACGTAAAATAATATTAAAGTGATATAAGGATAATTAAATAAATAAATAAACGTTGTTCCCAGGGTGACATCCATGGACAACTCCAAAGCATCTGTTTATCACACAACGAAATGAGACAGATAGTTCAACATACATTCGTTGAACTCAAGGAACTTCAACAAATCTTGATTGAGGACAATCTCATAGAAACAATCCAGAGAAGAGCCTTCACCAGTCTCGATAACTTGAAGGTCATAAAACTCAGAGGCAACAGAATATACGATATTTCTGAAGAAGCATTCCAGAACATTCCAGCGCTAAAAGAGTTTGTACCTTTCTAAAGTTTCATCTACATTCTTTTTTTTCTTCTACATTTTCGATGCATATATATCAAAGAATTATTATATTATCAAAGCAAAGTCAGTTTAAGAAAATTAAGTAGATTGAATAAATATTTCGTAAATTTCGTAAGTCAAGCAATTTAAGTGTGCAAAGTTAATTTCTTGACAAATGGTACTATAATTAAAGTTTCGATTAAGAAAAGTTACATAATCATTTTCGTTCCAGGTTAGACATATCCTTCAATCAGCTGAACACGTTTAAATTTTCTATCTTCGACCAAGTTGGCTCAGCAACTGCCTTGAAGGTCAACGTTTCTTACAACACAATGACATCTCTCCACGATTCCAATTCTCTGAGTTTCTTCACAGGCAATTTCTACCAACCGAAACCACAAAGTAAGTCGATTCTAACATTATAATTTTCCACTTAAAAGGTTTTAAAAAAGACGCACGTAAATTAAGGATCATTATCATCATGACTATTTGATACTGTTTTCAATAATATTTTAATTAATATATTCCTATAAATTTCGTTTTTTCTTCTTCTTTTGCTTCTGCTTAGGATTAATTTCCAAAGAAGTCTATCCTACGAAGGAAGGTGAATTAAATTTATTTACTATTTTCTTTGCTACATACTTATTTAGTTAATTACTTTCTATCACTTTTTCTTCATCTTATTTTATTTATGCAGACATATCATCTGAAGAAAACGTTCCATTCGAAGAAGGTGATTTTATGTTGTGTCTTTTGTTATTTTTTTTTAATATTTGTTTTTGTAGTTCTATAGCTTATCTTTAATGTTGTTTTCATAGCTTTCTCCTTACCATAACTATCATTATTCCCCAAAATAAATTTGTGATAATTCGCTAAGGCTGTTTGTAGTTAATATCATCCTTTATGAATAAGTAATGGACCAGTGATTAATAAAGTAGTTTGAGTAGAACAATCAAAGATACTTAATAAAAAATATCACAGGAAGTTCAACTTACATTACGCCATAAGTCCTCTATTACGTTAAATGCATTTATTTATTCCCGACATCCGTTAAAATACTTGTTTCGTTTCCAGGCCTTGGCACCGTATCTGTGAATATCAGAGTATTAGATTTCTCCCAAAACAATATTTCTTACATAGCACCTTATTACTTCAGGTAAACTTTATCCTATGATTTTTATCTGTTTTTTTATAATTTGATTTAGTTTTTGTTTTAAGCATTTTACTAAGTACTTTAATTTTATTTTCTAACAGACACGCAGATTTCACACTGGCAGAGTTATATCTATCTCACAACTTCATTAGGAACATCACAAGAGAAGTATTTGGATCTCTGGCCGCACTGCAATATCTAGATTTGTCTAACAATTTAATTTATCACTTGGAATATGATTGTTTCGCAAGGGCTAAAGCATTACAAGTAAGAATACAAATTTTTCCTTTGATTTCTATAACTATGTATTTTAGAAAATATTATTCGAGTAAAATTACATCAGTAACGTTACTGAAACTAGTTTACCCATGTTACTTTAGTTTAGTTACGTGCATGACTCGAGTCATATGAGTTTTGTATTTTTCTTTGTGAATTGCTAGTTTATGTTTCAAATTTGTAATAATATTATGCAACTGACTACCCACTAAAATTATGAATTTAACAGTTACTGGATTTCTCTCACAACTACATCAGCGAGCTACCAGTGGAAGTGTTCCGTGACATGCAATCGTTGATATCCTTGGATCTATCTAACAATCGCATTAGGAACCTCGCGGATAATTTGATAGTATCACCACTTTTAGAAAGGTTTGTGAATATATTTTCACCTCCTATGCTTAAGACTATTTTTATGAGTTTTATATTAGTTTTAGAAAAAATAATCAAAGATGACCATGATCACGTTAGCAGAAAATTCGAAAGGTTATTTGTTAGTATTATTGACCTGTCCATCGGATTTGAGTCTAAAACATATTCCAGATTAATTTTTTCAATGTGTACAGAGATGAAGATCTATGCGTGAGCATTGAAAGAATTAATCTTTAAACATACACTTATTTTACAGATTGGACCTATCTAACAATTATTTATCACGAGTCCCAACAAATTGCTTATCTCAGGCGGCTGCAGCTAGCCTTGTAGAGCTAGACTTGAGCGGCAATACTATTCCTGCAATATCTATGGCGGACTTCGTTCAAAGATTTAGGGTAAGTTCATCTGTTTTGATGTTATTGTTTCGTCTTGTTAGTGATTTTAGTGAAGCTTTTACCGTAACAATGAGTTTGGTTTATTACTAACAGCTCGAACTGAAAACCGTTTGTTTGAAAAGTTGTTGCAAGTTTTCTTAAATTAATTTTGGATATACAAGACAAGGCAAGTCAATAAAACGTGTAAGTTTGATGGGTTTTGGAGTTATTCTAACAGTAAAATTCTTCGCAATATTATCCGATAATTTTGATTAAAGAGAAAACATTACTAATTTACACATACAATGAGAAATTTTCTTTTAAATATCCGTTATATCGGTTCCTGAAATATTGAAATATTATAACACAAAAAAACTTGCAACAACTGATCGCTCTGAAGCTTATATAATAAATAAAGCTCACAAACGAATCAATGTTAAACATATCTTATTATTCTGTGCTTTTGAAATCGCTAATCGATGTTTCGTGAGCTTCGTCGTGACATATCCCAGTTTTCACTTAGCACTAAAAACTATCTGAGTGAGAGGTAGGATTGATGATGCTGACGATATATCGAAAGTCGATTCTAAATAGTACAGGTGCTTACTAATAACAGTAGTTGGCCAGTGTGTGGTAGTTAAGCTAACGTGGTGTCAACTCCCTGCATGTCCAGAACCCAGAGCAGGGCGAGTTCTGGCCCGAGGAGCCGGACTACAGCGACGAATATATGTACCACACGGCTAGGAGAGATCACACCAGAGTGTTCCACCAAAAAAAGCAATATCCGCAAAATATCCTGTACAAGGTAGTTATAGACGATGTTTGTATGGTCTTTTTCGATGCGATTTGTAGGGAAGATACTCGCATTTTTTTTATCTTTCTCATTGATTCGCAATAAGTACTAAAATACAAAACAAAATTTCTAACGTTTATTGATTAGATTTATTGAGAATAGCTTTCGTCAAAAAATAAGTCAAAAGAATTGAAAAGCCTGTGTTTTCTGTACAAATTTAATTGAAACAGACTACAAATGAAGTTGAAGTTCTTTTGTTTATGATCATCGATATTGTTTACAAATCTATTATAAATTATATTATTAGTCTTAAAATACTAGCTGTTTGCAAGACATCATACATGTTGTATTTTTTTTCAGTTCTAATTATTTCAGCACCAATAGCTTTACAGTACTTACTTTTGTCATTTATTTCATCTACAAAACTTCCACTTCATTTGTTTTTTAAAATTAGGACACATCGCAAATAGCATGTTTTAACTTTTTATTTTGGTAGTTAGCTTGTTGATTATTTAGTTTTCAATCTTTTGTTCTTTTAATGTGCATCTTGTTTGGTTTGCGTTTTATCCTTCTCCACAGGTAACATTAATTTATTTTTTAATTTTTAATTTTCTATTGTGACTTTCATAGATAATTTAAATTTCTTAAATTGGGATTATCATTCAAGTTATTTCCAAAGCGATACAACATTAAGTTCTTTAAAATTTGCTAAACTAGTTTATAGGATTTAATTAACCTTTAATGTTACAGTCTCTAATGTGGCTGGATCTATCGAACAATCATCTCGTGCGTATTGAAGGAGGGACGTTCACGGCTCTCCCGAAACTGAGATGGTTGGACTTGAGCAATAACCAACCTTTCAATGGCGGAGAGAGAGGATTCACGGTTTTCAAGGGACTAGAAAGGAGGCTCTTCCATTTAGGGCTCAAGAATGTTAGCATGCTCAGTGTAAGTATTTTTTACATTATTACCCAACTGGTAGTCATAATAGCTGTATTTGTTGAAAGAGATTTTTATTTTCAATTCAATCCAATTCGTTTGGAATTGCCATTCTTTAAACGGAAACTAGTCTCGTCAGTATAAGCCAAAGAGAATCACTACTTTTGCCGAGGTTTCTTGAGCTCCATGCCATTAGTTTGGCCACATTTGCCTTCCCATTTTCAAATAAAGTCGGAGGTATTTGTCATATATTTTATTGTAAACGTATTTTGTTTTAGGTGCCTTCAATGCCTTTGCCAAAATTGAAGAGTCTTGATTTATCATACAATAATCTGCCATCGATACCAATAGATATAACGTCGAATTTAACTCGTTTAAGAAAACTGGATCTTTCGTACAACGATCTGTCGACTGTTCCAGTGGTAAGTGCTCAAAACTTATTTTAGCATATTTTTTTAATTTAATTTACTTATTTCCAAGTTTAACATTTCATTTTGATTAGTTGGTTTTTATCGATGATGCTTAAATTTTGACCTTGATTTTAGGCTACTCAGTCGCTCTCTCTACGTTGGTTGTCTTTATCAGGCAATCCCATCACAGCTCTGATGAACAACAGTCTGTACGGTGTATCATCACGAATGGAATATCTTGACGTGACGAAGCTTCGTTTGAGGATTCTAGAGGTAATTTCGTGTTGGTAAATTTTTAAATAGAATTTTCTTAAAGGGGAATATTCACCTTAAGAAAATTCTATTTAAAGAATAATTAATTAACCTTAATAGTAATTTCGGTGATTACTCACTTTTATATTTTCTTTTTAGCATGGTGTTTTCGGAAAAATGAGCGGTTTGAGAACGTTAAAAATTTCCGCATATCCAGACGTTAGGGAATTCAATATACCAAGGATGCTAACGTACAATGCGGCCTTAGAAAACCTTTTCGTGGAGGTAGACTATAGCCAAGAATTCGGCAAAGAAATGAGCGCTCAGTTGCCGTGCAAACTCAGCAACATCACCATAACTGGGAAACCGCTGAGATATCTATCGCCTTATTTACTAATTGTGAGTATTAAGTGTAATATCTTCCATTAGTTTCACGCTTTACATTTTGTTGGATTGGTAGAAAATAAATAAATATATAAATAAAGGGATATCAGTATAAATTTATAGTCTACCAGAAGCTTATCCGTTGATCAAGACTTTTGTTCTTAATAATTAAGTGTTATTTTTTCTTCTCAGTCTCCATTATCGGGGATAGCTTTAAGTTATAATTGTTATACGAGTACGATTTTTTTACCTTTATATGTTATCTATCATCTAATTCATATAATCTGTAAACATTAGAATTTTTTTTGGTAAAATAATCACTTTTTTGCCTTTCCAGGGTGTTCATTCGAAAGTGTTAAGGCTGACTATATTTAATACGAGCATAGAAGAGATAGGAAGTGAAGTTTTCTGGAAACCGGGCCGAGTGAGAAATTTAACATTAGACGTCCGATCAAACTATATAATGAAAGTTGCCAATCCTGGACAGAAAGAATGGCCGGGTGTACCGAATAATGTGTTCCTTCACGATATATTTGTCTCTGACAACCCCTTGATATGTGACTGCGGCGTTGGGTAAGAAACACTTGACTAGGAACGCAATTTGATTACCAAAGCATATTTGTTTCTTAGAATTTCACGCAAGTTTCAACGGTATAGATGCACTGATTTATATATTCGTTGACGTTTCGCATCCTTTTCAGGATGCGTCCTCTGAATTATGATACCAAAGCAGTTTAATAATTAATTTATTAGCTGAATGCAAATTTGAGTCATTGTGGAAACAGAACTTGATTAAAAAATTAACTGTAAACCTACTCCCGATGTTGAGCTTGTGCTCCACAATCATCATCATTAATTGGAGAGGCCTATGTCCAGCAGTGGACTAGGATAGGCTGTTGATGATGATGATGATGTTTTTAGACCTACTTCTTCATTTACTGATATCTTATTAATATAATGTAATAAATATATAAACTTTTGATTAACGAGGCGTTAACCAACATTCTCTATAGCTTTCAAAACGAAATGTTATTTTTCACAGATGGATTGAATCTTGGGATAGAAAAAGAAGACAGTATCTTTGTCGAAGCCCGCTCGAATGTGTTGGCACTCGTGATGACGTCAGATTTGCGAGATGTCCCTTGTATGACAATCGAACGCTAAACGACGTAAGTAATACATTTTATAATTAACTATTATAAAATGTTATTTCAGGGAATTAATACTTTGAGATAATATATAACCTGCTAATTTCAGGTATTAGCAAGAGATCTAGACTGCAGTTGGAGCAAGGGAATTTTAACGTCACCTAACTTGTACATAATTTTGGGAATGTCACTGTTAACATACCTCTACATTTGAGCCTTATTTTGGATGCTCGGGGTCTATGAAGAGTTCTATAGAATTCTGTCAAGAGTATATCAATTTTAAGACGACTTTCACAAATAAAAAATGCTCATATACACAATTTGTGAAATAAGTCTGGAAATTGAAAACAAGTTGGTAAGAGCTTGCTTAGTTATATGTAAGAGATGACGGTGTAAAAAAAGAATGTGTACATAGAACCAGTCAAGAAATCCCATCGGATAATGTTAAGGACGACGGTGACGAGTGAGATTTAAATATAAATGAAAGATTATGTGCGAAGTACCTGCCTATGTGGCCTAAGACTGCATCCAGAAATATTATGGTTGAACCAATTCTTTCAAATAGTGGTAGTGACGTCATACGAGTTTTGTTAAAAGCTCAATAGAAAACAATGAAGACGCAAAATATGACTTGTTCATATTATAAATTATACTAGGAAGTGGTCACATTTACGACGATAGTTTAGTGGAGCCTACGAAAATTGTGATTTACTTTATTGTGTATGGTTGAGCGAGATCTCATCGGATTGAAAATAGAGACGTTACCGTTGATGTCATAAATTATATTTTCTACGTTTTTAGTGTTTGTTATGAAATATTGTTTTGAGTGCATTAGATTTAAGGTTTCTTTAAGCAAGTATGTAAACATGCAACTCATTTAAAATAATTTTAATGAATTTTTGGATATAAGTTACCAGTATTTTTCATTTTGATGGATTGTGTCTTTTTATCATCATCACCAAAGTGTGGCAATTGCAATGAATGTGTTTTAGATGATGCATTTACGTCGATTTAATAAATAAGTTCACATGAAAGCAATGATTAATAATGTATATCGTCTAAGTAGACTGCATTCGCTCGAATGATATGTGTTCGTCCATTATTAAGATTAACGACGTTATTTATAGACGTGTTCGTTTGTTTATTAGCAAAGTGTAGGGGTAATTGTATGACATCGGTTTCATTATCAAATAGTTTAGTGTTTAAATTATTATTTACTTTCAGAATCTAACTAAGTGTTCCAGATTTATCATCTCCGTTATAGTTAGCGGTTGACTCTCAATCATATTCTTCTACATAAGTAGGTCTATTTAAAATTTTGACATACAAATCTTTGTACAAACATGTTTTCCATACAAAGCTATATATTTTACTTCGGAATATATCTAAAATTATAAAGAAAAATGCTTGATCCTATAACTGTATTTAGACTCTATTAATATTTGATTGTTTACCTATTTACAAATTCTAACTGGTTATCTCGTTAAATAATAATATTTTATTACATATATCTAAGTATGTGTCAGTAGCTGTTTCTATCTACAAAGCATGCTGTAACATATACATATTGTCATTGTACCTATTAAAGAAAATTAGGATTTTTATGACTGACCTAAGTATTTCATTGCTGTATCGCTGGTATATTATAAGAAGTGTTGTCTGTACGGTGTCCAAAGTGGCTTATTTATTAAATTTTGATTTATTTAAGCTTTTTTCTTAAGTAGTTTTTATTTGATACGTTCTTTTTGGAATTTAATTTTTCTGTGCAAAGTTTTTGGCATAGTCACTGTTACACGCTAGGAGTAGGTTATGCGGTTGAAATCTCAGTTGAGCAAAATGCATGTTAGTTTTATGTTTAGATTGTCTATCGAGTAAATTCAATTGAATACCTCTTCTCCAGTGGTCCAGTTTGAATGTTGTATCAGGCCTATTCTTAGCTTTTGTTTTCAATGCCAATCTCAGATCAAAGCTTGATAAAGCATTTGCTAGTGTGGACATTTGACGTCTGTTAAAATTCCTATTGATAATGTGTAGGAATCTAAAGGGTACACAGCTTGATCTTAAGTTCTTTATATGTTTGCTTAAGAATGTGATTATTTTCTATTTTTATTATTTAAAGGGTATCAAAGCGTTTCAGGATTCACTAATGTAGTCTGCATTTGAAATAAAATTCACATTTTCACTTTGCTCGGTCGAAACAAGGCAAAACGGCAGTCCTTGTTGTCTGTAAGTTAAACTTTGGTATTGAAAACAAAGGGACATCGTTGAAACAATGAATATATTTTGTGATATATATATTTAATCTCTAATCCTTCTATTTTTGATAAAGCCGACGAATAGTAATGCTGAATTGGTGTTCTAGGCAAGTGGCATTTTCTTTTTCTTTAGAACGCTAAAACTAATTTATGAGTTAAAAAAAAGTTTCAATTAATTGACTTAGCAGTCGTAGTTTATATGCCATTCACTAAATCTATCATGATTTTTTTAAAGATTTTATGTAAAATGCTTTTTTTATATTAGCGTTAGCGTTCTAACGAATCAAAACTAACCATTTGTCCAGGGTAGCAGGACAGAATTAAAACTACCAGATATTAACCAAACTACAGCTTGCATAGCTTACTGTATCGTAAAGTCAATTGTAAAATCATATGAACATACATATAATAGCATTATTGAAGACCATTGTATAAATTTAAACTACTTAATTGTTATTACGAATTTACCATAAAGCGATTAGATAACAGTTTATTCAAATCATAAGTCTGTAGAGTTCTAGAGATACGCTTAAAATTCTCATGATATTTATGGATTCAGTTTTGTATACGGAAATAAATTCAATTACTAAATTTATCTGTATTAACGTTGCGCGAATTTCATAGACTTATTCATGATGACGAAATATTTTGTTATCTTTTAGTGTCAACTTTTATACACGCATTACTTGTTCATTAATTAATTCTTGAAATATTAAAACTCTATCAGCTTTGTACTTTGTTTACAAAAAGTTACAGTTCATTATTATATTTCTATTTTAAGTATTTAACTGCAAACAACCCCTCGGTTCAGATTTTAGACAGAATGAAAACTATAGTTTGCAAAGAAATTCTACAAGTTACAAAATTCTTACTGCAATATCTATTATTAATATATAATATTAATGATAAAAATCATTTTTTAATGCTGTTGTTACTAAAATTTCATAAATAAATTATATTTGATATTATCAAGAAAATTGATTTATACCTTTAGGTACTTACTAACCTGTATTGTAATTCCTCTGCAAGGTCCCATGTGATAGATATAGATGGTGCCAAGGAAAGATAGCCATTTTCATATAAGAATATGATAAACTATACCTAACTTATAAACGGACATTGGAAGAAGCATTTTTACTTAAAAAAGGGGTAGTAACGCCTGAAACAAAAATTACCTCATCAGTAACAATTACTGTGATAGGTACTTATAAAAATAAACAACAAAACTAAATTAGATACCTGATGGTTATAATAATAAATGATGTAAAAAAATGAAATGGTCAAATCAGACCAAAAATAATATGAGAGCAATATTTGTTTTGGGCGAATAGACATGAAGTTTTATCTTACGAGTAAATTACTATTACCAAATTCCCAACATTTCAGTGAAATGTTGTCTAATGAATTGTTTTTTTTTATTAATGTAATCATTTTATCAAATTTTTAATAAAATGTACCAATAGTTGTTGAATTTTACTGATAAAATCGTGATATATATTTTACATTTTAATATAGTGGATGAATTAATAAAGGTAGGTGCAGCATTAATAAATAAATCAAAGGACAATCATAGATCTCTTCCAAATAATGCTCCCTACGTATAAATAAATAGAGTAAATATATTTCAAGTGTTGGTAATAAATAATAAAAAAGAGAGTATAAATTAAATGTATAGTAAAACACTTTCAGTCGGGTTGTAAAAACCGCTATTGAAATCATCGCTACAAAAAATTAAAGGGTACTTTAGTGCTGTATCTACCTTTTCAGTTTTCATCTCAGATTAAAGATAAATTATAAAATGTACCATTTTTTCATTATATTTAATTACCATATATTATTTATTAATTTAGATAAATCTGATTATATATTTTTATTGAATTTATTTAATAAAAACTGAATATGTAAATAAAAAGGATGAATAAACATACGAACAAAATGTGAAATTAGTTGCTCTGATGATGAAAGTAAGAAGTTTGTTTTTCTTAATGGAAAGTAGGACAGGGGACTGTTTTGTCTTCACTATTTTAACGAGTCTACTGAAATAGTGTGAAAATAAAATAAATAGATAATAATCATTGAATTATTAGCGTACCAATAAATTATTAAATAAAATGCGTTTTTTCATTATTACTTTTAAGCTTTGCTTACAACTTTTTATTGGGAAGGGGTTGTCACATCATCAAGATAATCTGACAGCAAAATAGCGATTAAGGGTAGGTAACTATAATTATAATGCTTGGGATAAGACAATTCTACAGTAACTGTACGGTTACGAGAGAAGCTGTTAATTAACAATATAAAAAACATGTTATTTGTTCACAGCTTTCTCACCCGAAACATCTGAGACATGTTGAATATTTTTGAGTCTTTGTTTTAGATAAAAATGAGTTATCTTCCTGTTCTTAAATAAAGATATCGCCGCCAGCACCAGTACGGTTTTTTTTTAATTTTGAATTAGTTGTTAGTCGTTTTGTGTTTTTGTAACAAGATCTTAACAGGACAGGGGAAAGGAGATTGCTCAAATTGGCCTAAATGCACAAAAAATATTGACATACACGGTAATTCTTGGCGTAATTTATAATTTAATTTACAGTCATTAGATTTCAACGGACACCTTTGTATAATATATTTACTTTAAAAAGGACTTTTAATATTACCGGTTTGGAAAACATACGAATCATTTTTTATAGCTATGGGTGTAGTAACATTCAGCCAAAGACTGCTCGAAGTTGTTTATATAACATAAAAACAAATCTATTTTAAAAAGATCGATAAAATAAATCATTTTTTTATTATACTGTGGTATTAATATCCACCACTATAATATTATCATTTTCACTAGATGCAAATGTGCTCAGACAATTATTATAGATGGTAGGCGATATCATAAAGTCTATTGCCATACATTTTTCGCCAAACACCTCCATAAACACATTATAATCTGTATATATGTTAGACTTTAAGGTATCTATCTAAGGGTCTACGTTCCCTGACTATAAATTAATAAATAAATAAAATTATAAGGTGTGATACACTAAAAATCTAAAATATGGTTATCTTAAAAACATAACAAAAATAATGAAGCTACTGAATATACGGCTATAGAACCTAAATCTATTAGCTTTCTTTGGTTAAGTAGAGTTTAAAAATTCTCTCTAATCTGTGGCTCATTCACAATCATTACACAGTTTCTGTCACAGAGTAGGTATCTTATTATAACCGGAAATGACACCTGATTTTAAAAGTTACTCTTATGCATTAACTTTAAAAACAGGCAACTATCTGTTAATCTACATGCTCTATATACCTGAATCTAATCCATAATTTCGGTACTTGGCTTGATTTCCCTAGTTTACTATATAACTTATTTGTTTTTTATTATTTTAATATGTTCAATGTATATGGTTTATAGAAGTTCTCCGGGGTGTCCGTCAATAATATTCGTTTCTACAGTAATTTATATATAATTTCGAATCTAGGAAACAATTTTTCATGATTATTGGTCTTTAGGCCAAACATGTATGGAAGCTGAGCAATCTCCTTTATTAGTTATTTTAAAATATTTACCTTAAGATACAAACACTCAATGTGGCCCTTCAAACCGGCGCCATTCTTTAGATCCCGCTGGTAGTTACTTGTACACATACGTACAAGTAAATTGGGACCCAAACTTGTACTTTTATGTATTCTATGACTTCAGTCAGAACATGGAAATAAGAAGACACTTTACAAACGAAATTCAACATCGATTATTAAATTCAAAAATATTCACATTTGCACCATTCCTAAAAAATAAATAAAGCTCTAAAATCTCTAAATTGATTTTTTTTTCAAAATCTAAATTTAATAATTGATATCCATAATTTTGGAGACCAGAATGACCAGAATCAGGACAATTTTTCTTAGCTTTTAGCTTTGAAAATAGAAAAAGTTCGAGAATTCATCATTAGCTAATAAATGTCCCCAAAGCTAGGGCACAGGTCTTTCCTATGGATGGGAGATTGGGTTATGACCCATCACACGGGCAAAGTGCGGAATAGTGGGTGCTGATGATTGCAGATGCATCTGTGACCAACGGCTTGAGGTGCATCCCAAAGCACGGAGGAGCTCGAGATAGTACATTTTCGGTCACCCATCCAATTATTGACCACTGCAATAATTGATTAATTCCAAGGATTGCAGCCGGACGCGCTAACCACTTGCGCGATCGAACTCCTCAATCAGCTTCTTGTAAACATAACCAACTCTCCATGAAAGTCCGTCAAAAATTATATAAAATCTATAAACCTATAGCACTACTGAAGAAAATATCGAATACCTATACGTGTTGAGGGAGAGAGGACTGTAATAAAAATGGGCGTAACAGCAAAAGCTCTTTACGGCTGGCAGTTACTGTGACCTCATTTACAAGCATTCCATCCCAATATAACGCTAATGTCACAACGGTGGTGTAATTGAATTAGGTGTCCCGCTGTGAACTGAATTGAATTCTAACCGCAAATGTTTGTTGTTTCGTGAACAATAAATGGGACTCCCTGGATAATAAGACCACGAGGCACGTAACTGCTCAATGGTATTGCCAGTACTGTACGTATCAAATATTAGTTGTATAATGGTATTCATCATCATCATCATCAGCCTATTAATGTCCCCACTGCTGGGGCACAGGCCTTCCCTATGGATGGAATAGGGAGATTGGGCTATGACCCACTACGCGTGCCCAGTACGGATTGGTGGGTGCTAACGACTGCAGATGCAGCCGGGACCAACGGCTTAACGTGCCTCTCGAAGCACGGAGGAGCTCGAGATAGTAATTTTTGGTCACCCATCCAATGACCGACCACTGCGAAAGTTGCTTAAGTTCAACGTACGCAGCCGAACGCGCTAACCACTTGCGCCATCGAGCTCCTCGCATATAATGGTATTACGCACATTTTAAGTAAAAAGATGAAAAATTAAAAAGAGGATGGATGAAATATTATTTTTGTATATCATCCCATTCATGAACCCCAAAGTGTCAAATGTAACACAAGGACTTCGCTTTCAGACTTTTATTACCGAGTCAAGTGGGCAAAAATAACAGTTACAACACATAACGACCTCCCCTCTTGTCCGTCCGACACTTATAAATCAGCATTACCACATGAGTATTAAGTAAAGATGGCACAGAGGCAAAGCTTCACACAGTTTTCGTGTGTGAGAGAGCACTGTCAGCCCGTGGCCGCTAATAGCAACGTTTCTCTGAGTGCTCCTCAAACATCCCACAACAACAGTTTACTAGAGCTTAGGTCCGAGTCTCAGAGACGGTCCCTCTAGTTGAGCTGACCACCTTTGGGTTTAGGTTCGGAAAGGCGGCTTCCCCCGAGAAGAGATGCTATCCATCTAGAATACCCCTAGAGGCACTCGCCAAGGTCCCCAGTGTTGCCATCAAGTTTGAAAGAGTTGCCGTATTCGATACATCAGATTGCCGTATTTTTAAATAAAAATCATGATTTTGCCGTATTACCTAATTTTATTTATTAAAATTTATATGTAGTTAGTATTATTATACGGCAATGACAAACCTTCCGTATGCCGTATAATCTGAAATTATGAGCTCAAATTGCCGTATATTACGGTAATTGCCGTATCAATAGCAACGCTGAAGGTCCCTTTAGGGTCTCCATGCCCCCAAAGTCAGTGAAGCTGTAAAGGTCATCTGTAACGAACAGCATACACACTCAAAAATGTTCAAACATGCGCTACTGTATGAATTCTTGTCTCTGTGCCTTCTTTACTCTACTCATCTGGTATAACCACTATGAAATTGATTATGGGTATTAACGTCAGCCGAGGAGATAATAAGCGAAAATAGGACGTTATCACTTATCGTGGCGCTGCGGAGTGTAAACAGGGATGATTACGGGGTAAATGACACGGAGGAAAACGTAAACGAAAAAAATAATGCACACGTACTTTTTCTTCCGTCAATCATAAAGAAGATAAAGCGCGCGCGTTAAAGTTTGGAAGTTGGGTCACGTGACGTCACTTCTAAGTAAAATTTGTACCAAAACGTGTCGTCATGCGACAATTAAAAAAAAATTATATATGTAGTATTCTATGTGAATAAAAGAAAATACGTGTCTAATACTTATTGACACTCAAATTTCCCGCTAAAATAGGAGCGCTCGTCGGGGGAAGGACCTCCTTACAGAAAACTACAGCAAAATAACACTATCTTTTGGTGGTGTTGTGTTTCCGTCGTTGAGTAAGTTTTCAGGGCTCCCCGGGGATTGGGTCAGGGTAGGCAATGGCGCGAGTGATATTTTTGTTTCGCAAGCGTCTATAGGCTACTTTGACCGCTTACCAAGGCGGGCCATATGCTTATTTGCCACCGTTTGAAAAAAATACTCTACCTGATTTAGAAAGGAAAAAAGATTATCATTATAGTTTTATTATTTAACTTAAATAAAAGCACATAATAATTATGAAATTTAACTGCGGTACTTTAAAATATTAATGGCTTCCAAACCCAGTGTGTTATACGAATCATTTTTTTTATGTCTGGAAAATGCTTTACGCATTCAAGCTAAGCGGAGTTATCCGGGACTCGATGAAATGAGTAGGGCCCTGCCTAACGGTAAAAACCAGACAATACTCCTGCACCTGTCTTCTGACACATATCCCGAGGGCCACGGTCCCTGGCATATGTGTCAGTAGGGCATTGCATGGTATACCCTCAGTGGGACTGTCCACGCGCCCGCCGGTGTTTGTCCGTTTCCGGTCCCTACCCATCACAGGAACCGGTGCAATGCGTCCTGGAGCTCCCACCCTCTTTCCGACCGCCTGTGTAGGCAGAGTAAGCGCATGCGCATGCTCGGAGCGGACGTTCGCTTCAGCACTGAAAGAGCGGTACCCCTAGCACGAACCATTATCGAATTCGATTTGCAAACCGAAATGTCAATGTCAAATTTTGTATGGGAACTTGAACAGCAGCGGCACAAAGTACGTAACGAAAACTAAAAATCAGTACACATTTGACACTGACATTTCGGACTCGCAAACGATACGAATTCGAAATTGGTTCGTGCTAGGGGTACGGGTCTCCCGTCGCAGCGCTGTTTTATGAAATGACAAATGAAACTACACGCAAACCTTGATGATTCCACAGAAAGTGTATTTCGATTGCATCTACACACATCAAAAGTGTCTAAGGAGCTAGTAATTTAATTGCAATAGAAAATATCCAAAAGATAAAGATCATTCGTATTCCAGATAGTGTTCCAAATTTTATATGTTAACAAGGTGACCCACATAATGTATGAATAAACAACACACTGCTCAAAAGCACCTTAATCGGGCAGCAGATGACGCGCAGGAACAATTTCCCAATGCAGAATTGGTGTTTTTGGGGACTTTAATGCTCACCACAATTTGTGGTTAAGTTCTTCCAAAACTGACCATGTAGGACCACCAGGAGAAAGCCGATTTACTGGCAAAACTCTTTGCGGATAACTCCCGAATCGATGATTGCAATGCACTGCCACCATCATTACCTCACTGTGGCACAACGATGCCTGATATTAAAATCAGACAGCGCGAGGTTCGTGCCGAATTGCAATCACTCGACGTCCGGAAAGCTAGTGGACCTGATGCCATCCTAGCAGTAGTACTTAAAAAATGTGCAGCGGAGTTGTCTCCCGTGCTCACACGCTTGTACCAAAGCTCGTATTCTTTGGGGCGTGTGCCGGAAACTTGGACAGATGCTAACAACCGGTGCCCAAAAAAGGGGATCGCTCAGACCTGGCAAACTACCGGCCAATAGCAGTCACCTTAGTTTTATGTAAAGTTCTAGAAAAGGTCCTTAATAACCATCTGACCCGCTACCTAGAGGATCACTCCCTGATTGATGATCGTCAATATGGTTTTAGACCGAAACGATCGACGGGTGATCTTCTAACGCACTTATAATCATCTCATCTCATATCTGGGGTGAGGCTATCGACAAACGTGGCGAGTCGTTGGCTATCAGCCTTGACATTGCCAAGGCGTTCGACAGGGTACTGGCACAAAAGCCTTCTCTCCAAGCTTCCGGCATACGGTCTGCCAGCCCAGTTCTGTTCTTGGGTAGCTGACTTCCTGCATGAGCGTAGAATTCGTGTCCTTACGGATGGTAGCAGTTCGCGGTTCATGTCAGTGAATGCTGGCGTTCCCCAGGGCTCCGTCCTATCCCCCACTCTCTTTCTGCTGCATATGCAGGGTGAGGATGGCTTGTGTGGCAGGTAGAACTGCTGTATCAGCTATCTTCACGTCTGGACTTCACCTTCACTTAACATCAGGTGGGGTGGAGTCATTTGTCGGAACTATCTATAAAAAAAACCCCTAGTTAACTACTACGTTAATTACGACGTGCGTTCATACTTCATTCCTAGACACTTTTGATGTATATTTATATCAAAAATAATAAAAGCGACTCATTCTTTACTTAAGTATTTTCATTTTATTTAAAAAAATAACCCGCGGTTATTTGGCCAGTCCCAGGTAGTTTGCCGTATTCAGGTTTACGAAAAGTATTACTCGGATTCGGTTACTCGAAGCAATATTTACACTGGAATATGGGCTGGAAGACGGTGTCGGGTAAACAAAAGAAAATGTACCCGAATACGGGCGGCGTCTTCGACTCCGTTTATTTACACTTAGTCGTTGACCCGAATTCCATTTAGACCGGGAGCTGGTGACAGCTGAAATGCGAAATGGCATGCATGTAGCTTGCTTCATCATCATCATTGTCGACATTATCATAATTAAAGTACAAAATTATTAGCAGCATCATAATTTTAATCATTAAGTGTTATTAATTATCGTTATTATCAATCGCTTCATCATCATCACTGTCGACATTATCATCATCATACCGATTTTTCCAGAGTGTGTTTATTACAAAACCTACCATTCTTTATATCGGCTTGCATTTCAAAACACGGAATTGCCCTTTAATTTTGTTCAGGTTTTCAGAAACCTATGATCATCTTGGGCCGCTGCGGAGTGCATGCTATCAATTATTACAGCTTTAATTTGTTTAACTTCCGTATATTACAATGGCATGCAGTATACTATCACGGAAAAACACGAAAATCCGCTACACAAAGAAAAGCGCTTTGACTAAAACCCGACTATCATTGATATTTTAGGGTTAGTTATCAAGTCTTAAAAAGGCATGCACGACAAAATCGTGGAACGTCACCTGTCACCAGCTCCCGGTCTAATTGGCACTCGTATTCGGGCTAACAACTACGAGTAAGTGTAAAACGCTCGCACTCCCGACACGCATTCAGGGTACTTCGGTCCTCGGATTTTGTGTGGGGTAACTGATGCAGAAGTATTGTCTTGTAACACATGAGAAAGGTGACTATAGGCTGCAGTGACTTACCATCAAGTGGGCCATAATTATATTGGTTTGCCACCAATTTTACGTATAAAAACCATTCAAACTCATGGTCCGTCTGGGGCGCACCTTAAGTCGAACTCACCCACCGAGGATTCCGTACTTTACAGGTAATCAACATCATCATGTCAGCCGTACGATTCCCATTGCTGAGCATAGGCCTCCCCCAAGGATCTCCACACCGATCGGTCCTGCGCCACTCGCATCCATCGGCTTCCCGCGAACTTCACAAGATCGTCGGTCCACCTTGTAGGGGCCTGCCCTCTGAGCGTCGTCGGAGTCTGTTGTTGACGCACTCCCTACTCTAACAGTGTTACTGGAATATCCGATTCACAAATCACATTTGGGTTTCTCACTAGATTGGTTGATTAAACACTTAATCGAACAAAACTTCTTTACTTGATCAAAAAACACATTTTGTGCAAGATTCAATTATCTACGGTTAATATAAAAAAAAACAACCCCCTAAAAGTCGGACGACCGGGTCCATGGATCAATATTATGTTAGCTTAGTAAATAATAATATTTCGTTGTATTGTTTTAAACTTTCATGGTCACTAACATTAAAATTTCATGGTAGCAATCCCGCTAATAACTATAATTATATTCCGATCTTCTGATTCGTACTGTACATTAAGAACTTTGAGCCCCAAAACGAAAAGCAATCCAAACAACAATTAAAACTGCATGCATATATTCACAAATTCACATCAGTCTATTAGTTACCGATTATTCGCTTCACTGTAAGCACACAACAAAAATAGCTTATTTCATGCTGTTAGAGTGCGTGCTATTTCTCAGTGACACTTGCGGGTCCACGTATAGCACAAATTCTACAGAAGACGGTCCATCTTCATACCATAAATTACACTGTATAGCCACAGACATACCTTGCGAGAACCCTGAAATTTGTATTGCCACCAACGGCGCTTGGTTTCGTACATCCAAAGGGAACAAGCTTGGATCGAATCCTGGGGGATGAGGAAAGTATTTTATTGTACCTATATGCTCCTTATCGTACGAATGGTAGCCATCGCAATGCAACCACAGCATTTCACTTGACCTCAACCAATCCCTCACTTCTTTCGGCGCTTTAGTAGCCTGAGTCGAGTTCTTCTGGATAGGTTTGCCAGCCCATCTCAACTGGTGATTGATCTTTATAATTACACAAGGCGTTCTGCCATAACCGTACGGCGCTTGTGAACAAGGACCCAAATAGGAATAATCATTGCTCACATTTCTTCTGCTCACTAGTAATCTGTCTATTGCACTCACGTACTTCTGATAATCTTTGTCATCGCCTATCTTATAAGAAATCAATGGGTAACTAAACTCTGATGTCGGCGTTGCGGTAAGTCCAATACCGTGTTCCGAGTACGTGAAAAGAGCGGTTTTATCGACGAACGAGTAATCTGTGTGTTTAAAAACTATTAATGTACCGAAGAGGAAGATCAATGTATACGTGCACAGAAATATGAGATACATGATAGAATACGAGACGATGTAAAGCCAGCTCTTCCCAGTTCTTCCAAGGCAGGTCTTGCTCTCTTTATTGTAAATATACTGAAAGCATTTCCTTCTTCCGGATTCCGCATCTTGTGCAGGCTCCTTGGAAGTTGAGGGCTTGGGAGCGTGCGTTGGGACCGTCGCCGCTTTGTTACCCATATTCAGTCCTCTCTTTTTCACATTTCCACTTTTGTCCCGTTTTGGTGCCATTATTGTTATAACAACAATATTATTTTATGGTTACATTAAAAACGCGGTGCCCGTCAAATATCATTTTGATGGCATAGGTTTGACACCGCTTGAATGAAACTTTGAAACATAGTGATTAAAAACTAGCATTGTCATTTTTTTAAGTCTTTGCATTTAATAGACCAAAAACAACTTGAATAAATCACCGAGGCTATGGTTGAAAACTACGCATAATCGTAGAACATATATACATGGGGTTAAATTTATACCCTAGCTTGACACCCTAGAAGAAACGCCCTGTATAAATAATGTGTGTATGTGTGTGTACAATATATAAATGTATGTACGTGCATATACATATTTCATTTACTAGCTATAAGAGAAAGAGAAGAAAATGTGCGCGCGCACTGGTTTCTCTTGCTTATATCCCCCACTCAACCTCGCTCGAACACAATAGGCTAGTTGACCCTTTTTGGAAAGAGGTTTTGTAAATAAATGTTCTATTAGACCGAAAAAAATTGTATTGTATTTTTTGAGACATAGAAAGCTATAAATCTTTAATTTTAAAATAGACTTTTCATGGATATACAAAAACGCTGTCGGCCATTTTAGTCTCTAGATTATCGATGCTATGACGTCAACCAGTAGAAAACAAAAACTCATAAGCACGTAGAAAATAACCTATCTGAGTTTATAATAAAAAAAAACATGATTTCTAATAAATACCACGAAAAATATAATAATTATCATTATTGTATTGTACGAGAATGTGAAAACATTTCCTTGAAGACTCCAGGAAAGTTGTGGATTAAAGTGCCGAAAGATATTAACCTACGCAATACCTGGTTAGAACTTGCTAAAAGGGATCCTGCAACTTTATCGACTCATAGTACAATTTATTTTTGCGAAGATTTAGTGCAAAAAATTCACCAACCATCAATGCGTCAATTCTTGGCAGATTTGTGCTTTCTGCTTTCACAAAGCCGGCATCTATAATTAGTTTAGTCAAAAAAAATCAGTAAACGGAAACTTTTCTAAAGTTAAAAGTGTTTTAAGATAAATTTTGTCAGACGAAATAATCTACCTACGGTTCCACGCGAATGACATTTAGTTGTTTACTACCAAAGAGACGTCACATTCATGGCGGATGTGGCGAACAGCGTTTTTAGTGTTTAAAAAGTATAGACTAAAACTTACTTTTTAAAATTAAATTTCTACAGCAATCTTCTGCTTTTATGAAGTGAAATCGATATATTTAGGTTCCTTAGACCAAATACTTTAAGAAATAAACATTTATTTAATATAATTCGACATGAGTCAACTAGCCTATTTTCGTAACGCGTAACGTATTCGCCAGGTTACCCCCCAAGTCAAACGTGCATAAAGAAGTTTCACTTCAAAAATAAAAGAAGGGAGCTGATCCCCATCTAATATAGGTAGCTTTTTTACGTTTGACCAATTTAGTTGTACTCTACACTTGACTTTAGTTTTATTTCTGTCGACCTCTACAAAGGTAATAAACGAGACGTAACACAAAGAAAGAATAATAAACTGTGAAAGAGGCAAAGGGCATTTCTCATCTCATGGACGTTTGATCGAGACGAAATAATACGTGTTTAGATCATTAACGGCAGCAAGATGGGCCATCACTCTTTTGTTCTCGACAGCACTTTTGTGAATTTACGCGTTCATTTCGTCTTCGTTCAAATATATTTACCTCGTAAAACGTTATCTGAATTTGATTTTTTCAGTTTCTTCGGCGTTGGTTCTCAAACGTAAATTAAGATACCAATATGACCCGAAAACCTTAAAAAAAAGAGCGTACCTTAAAGGATGCATCGCATTTGTGATACTCCTGGTGTTGTAGGTGTCTTGTCTATGGATCTCACTTACCACCAGGTGAGCCATCAGCTCGTACCCCACGTACAATATCTTGATATAATATGGTAAAGGATAAAAAAAAAACATTTTCATCATCAGCCTATTAATGTACCCACTGCTGGGGCACAGGCCTTCCCTATGGATGGAATAGGGAGATTGTGTCATGACCCACCACACGGGCCCAGTGCGGATTGGCGGGTGCTAACGTGCCTTCCGAAGCACGGAGGAACTCGAGATAAAAGATTTTTGATCACCCATCCAATGACCGACCACTGCGAAAGTTGTTTAACTTCAACGATCGCAGCCGAACGCGCTAGCCACCTGCGCCATTGAGCTCCTCAAATAAACATTAAAATGATACATAAATAGGTATAATTTTCATATTGTATGCTTCGTATCTATATAGTGGTAAAAAAGTCATTAAGCGAGCTCGGATGATACCCATAACTCATCCGATCCTAGCATCCACAAAATCCACTTCCATAACCATAACTCAACTCCGAAAGTAACATCCTGCAACAAGAGCAGAATTGCGGCTGAAAATATATAGATAGTGATAGGCACTCGTCCCACCGCCGACGATTAACGAGAAGCGATAAAAAGATACGAAGAGAAGACAATCATTATTCAATTTATCCAAAACAAATTTTACCCATCTTAAGGTTTAAAATATAATCTTATAAGTTTTGACAATTAGGGGTAATTTTCGCACTTAAATAACGATCCGCATCCATCGGCATAAAAATTTGGATGGTAAGATGATTAAATCCAAATTTTTATGCAAATCGGTACAGGACGAAAAAATTACGATGTATTGCCATTTTTAGCTTCATTTCCTGAACTACAATGAGTGTCTTAAAAGTAGTCAACCGCTTTGGCGTCGGTAATCCTATTTTATTCCAATATTACGATAACGTAGTCCTGTTCCACCATATGGTACTGTTCGAATATCTCACAAGTTCAGCTTTACGCAATCGCTTCCGTCTAAGTTCCAAACTTATAAAGACAATATTCGATGACGACTTTATCGTATTTATTATAAAAGTAGTTCGTAACAAGACCATATATTCATTTCATAACGTATTATTTAATTACCGAGCCCTCAACCGTCTTGTATCCTGCAGAAACTTCGTAACGAAGTAAACAAAAATACAGTGGAAACATTCAATGCTACATATACGACCGCCGGGAGAGTGTTCCGCCATACATTCTTGTTTGCGGTGCCTCATAAATTGGACAGGATGGCGACGCCGGTACACAAACTAGCCTTTATTGCAACGGCATTAGGTCAGTTATAAATAGAAAACAATGGTGGCAGGTTTACCTTGAGTGGGATTTTCCTTGAGTCTTTGTAATACGTGGATCCTTTGGCGTCCATAAACACATTCGGGCATATTTACACGAACACATTTCGTGGTTAGTTTGAGTGTTTTGACAGTATCATAATATGAAGCTCAAACGTTTTTAAATGCAACTTGTTACTGAAAGAATCTCAGAAAAAAAACTGTAGTCACTGTAATCTTCATTGACGAACCACTGAAAAAGCCCTTTAGGTTTCACAAAACCTAGATCTAGCTTCCAGAGTTAAATCTCCTTCGTGTGGTCCAAGAATTGTTCGAGTGTCTAGTCCACCCTTGCATCCACATCACATCTCCAAACACTTATTTTTTCTTTATTCACATTATCAAAATAGCTTCACGAAAACTCGGTATCCTGTACAAGGTGTAGCGTTTTTTCACGCTGATCAACTGTGCTTGTTGTACAGAACGCAAGTGCGGTCCTGCATGGAATATTGCTTGCACCTCTGGGATGACTCCGGTAAGTATTTACTCGCTGCCTTGGGTAGCGATGCGGTACACTGCCCGCATCATTGGCGATGAAGAGGTAACTAACAAACTCGAGTCTCTACGATTACGCATGGCATCGGTTTACCGACTATACCACGGCGAGTGTTCTGTTCTGTGTTCATCCCAGAAGTTCTGAGGAGTTATTCTCTCTTATGGAGGGATAAGAGATCCCCTTTTCTTGAGAGGACTACGCGCGCTGGCCTACTTTGTCACCGACTTACTGTTGCCAATATTCTTTTGTATTTGTTGCCAAAGAAATTTTGTGACTGAATTCTTTGTCGTACAAGTGGAATTCTTTGTTCCCGTGCACGCGTGCCCCCCTTCCTACAATCTGGGGTCTTTTAAAAAAGGCGTGCAGAAGCATCATGCAGTCCGGCAAGGTGAGGATAGCTTGTGTGGCAGGTAGAACTGCTGTACCAGCTATCTTCACGTCTGGACTTAATCACCACTTTACAGTACGTAGGATAGAATCATTTGCCAACTACAATTGCCTTTTATTGTTTCAAATGTTTAATACTTGTAAAAGTATTCTCTTGACATTGTTGGTTACCCACAAGAAATACTAGAAAGAATTAAACACGGCCATCAGGGCCGCGGTAGCATAATTGTAAACCCTGTCTGCTGCCTGGTCCGCGTGGATTTTTTCTATTAAAATATTATTTAGAATTCAACATCTAGCAGTCAAATGCTTATAAAATAAAATATGATTATACGAAGCTTACTTCTAAACGTAACTGTAAACTTGCACAACATACGAATATCCCGTAACAATTTGAAATGAACATCTTGGTTGAATTACATTGTTAAATCTGGGGTCAGTTGCGAACTGAACAGATATCTCGGACTTATCTCCGGAGGCGTCGTTTTGTGTCTGGATATATCTCGAATTGCGTATGGTCCATTCGCTTCGTTCAGTTAGTGTCCCTAGAGATTTACAATGTAGATAGAAAAGGGATTGCTTTCAGTCAACGTCAGCATCGCTGTAAAGACCTTTTGGTATATTTTGAACCTAAGGTATACTATGAATACGCTATAGGTTATTGGTGCTTAAAAATAAAATAACGAAGTAGTATCATTGTCCGCTCTATGTTTGGGAAGCAAGCCCAATAACTATTAGAAAATAATTATAATACTTAACAAGTTCAGGTGAGCTATCAAATTAGGACTTCGAAATTGTAGTACAGTTTGGTTTGGTTTGTTCACGAATACCTTAAGCGACAAACAATTCTTTGATTTGATTTTGCCTAGTAACTTATTGTTATAAGACCGATTGTTGCTTTACTTTAGTTTCTTTTATAGTACAAATAAGTCGCATCACAAGTGTAAAAAGTATTATCGCAGCCCGCAAATGCGAGTCGTTTGATTATACGCCACTGGACTCGTCCGACTGAAAGGGGTTGAATGCGAAGCCGTAAT